ATATGCATACATTCAGTGTTAGTAGCTATTGCCAAACATTTTATCAAAGTAGGGGTACTAATAATATACAGTCTTTACCCTCTGTGAGAGTTCCAATTTCTCCGAATCCTTGCCAACTTGTTGGAAGATTTATAATGCTGAAAAAGAAAAGGCCATTTTTTGTGTTTATTGCCATCATATGACATTTTGATTTATATTTCTCTGATGACTAATGACTTTTTTCACATACTTACTGGATACTTGAATATTTTCTTTGAAGAATGGGTGCTCAATATTTTATCAAGCTGTAGCAGCAGCACTGCTTATCACACTTTGGTAAAACTGACTGTAAGGAAATAGTGAGCCCAGATGAATTTCTGCAGTTAACTACTTATAGCTCAGAAGGTATTAGAAGCTTCTCTTCACATCTCATGTCTGCCACAGTCTCCCACCCCCCGCCAAGTCCCATGGGGACAATGCAGAGGTGCATCCAGGTGCATGCAATGTTTGTGGCATAGATCTATGCCTCAGCTAAAAAATACTACCCTTATGAATGTTCCAGTCACTTAAGGGAGTTCTGGTGATCCTTGACCTTCTTTTACTTCCTACTTCCAGAAGAGAAGGGAAACATTATTATCATAAAATGTAAATAAAGTTTCACTGTGACCCAAAAGCTATGCAACTTCCAGGCTATTTGTTATGCAAGCATTCTTGAAATGATAGTCTGATGTGTGTGTGCACATATACAGATATGTATATGCACATATAAATAATTATAAATATAATATTAATAATTTAATGTACTTATAATAAAATATGCATTCATATATGAACATAGAAACCTATATTTGGTTGTTTATATGTGTACTGTGATTTTTAGTATCATATATGCTATTTGCTCCATAAATGTCCTTAAAAAGATAGTCTATAAATTTCAGGCTATATATCAGATCATAAACACTCACATACACATACATACACATACATTTATTTATATATGTCATGAGGGATTGTCTCAGTAGACTTTCATTTATTTTTCTGTGTGGTATTTATGCTTTTTTTTAAAATTTAATTTGAGAAATGTGTGTATCAGGGGAGAGAGAGAGAGACAGGAGAAGGAGGGAGCCCAATCATATTTTTTCAAATATTTATTTTTTAACACAATACATTTTCCTTTAATTTTTATTGTCTTATTTTCCTAATTTCTGCCAGGTTTGGTCGTGCACTCCTGTAATACCAGCAACTTGGTACGATGGAGTAGGAGGTTTGCAAAGTCTAGTTCAGCTTCAGCAACTTAGCAAAACCCTTAGCAATGTATAGCGACCCTGACTCATAAAAACTAAAAAGGACTGGGAATGTAGCTAAGTGTTTAAGCACCCCTGTATTCAATCTCCAGTACTAATATATATATATATATATATATATATATATATATATATATATATATATATGCAAATACTGTACCCTTTAACATAATGAAAGTACTCAAGGGGAAATAGAGAAATAAAAGAAAAATGTAAGAACGTGTATCTAAAGAGCAACTTTTTCTTCAGCCATAGGTTGTTTAAAATAATGTGGATTATCATCCAAACATTTGGAGATTTTCTAGTTGTCTTTTTGTAATTGATTTCTTACTTATTTTGTTGTCAGAGTACATAAATACATAAGTACTCTGAATAAATCTTAGAGTTTTTAATTTGATTAAGATTCATGATAGCAACCAACATATGATTGATCTATTTTACTAAATGTTTTTTGGGCACCTGAAAAGAATGTGTATTCTTTAGTGGTTTATCATACTATCTGTCCGAATAAATTAGATGAAGCTGATGAATTTTCTTCACATTTCTCTGTTCTTATGATTCTTTTCCTGTTTATTTTATTGGTACTTAAAGAGATAAGTTAAAAACAGATTTATCTATTTCTCCTTTCAGTGCTTTAATCTTGCTTTCTATATTTTGACTGTTAGGTGACTATGAATACAGAGTTGTTATCTTTCTGATGAATTGGACCTTTTATCATTATTAAATATCCTTCTTTATTTTCAGAAATTTGTCTTATTTATAGTCTACCATGTTTGGCATTAGTATAGTCATAATAGCTTGCTCTTGGGTTCTAAATGTTTTTTTCCATCCATTTATTCTTAATTTTTTCTAACATCTGATACTTAAGATGTGTTTCTTATAAGTAGCAAATAGTTAAGCTTTATATTTTTATGTATTTGGAACATCGTTTATATACAGTATTTAGTCCAATTATGTTTATCTATTTACTGATATATATCAGCTTAAATCTTCTATCATGTCTTTCTACTTGTTTTTATCCGTCATTTGTCCTTGCTCACGCTTTTCTTATTTCCTTCTAAAACTATATTTTCATTATTAAATTTTTCTCATCAACTCTTTAGATACACGTTCTTACATTTTTCTTTTATCTCTTTATTTCTCCTTGAGTACTTTTTTTACTTTAAAGGGTACATACAGCATTTGCTTATTACATTCTATCTTAAAATAGCATTTCTCTATTTATTTGACATTGCAAAGATTTTCTAACACTTTAATTTCATTTACTTACCTTTAATATTTTAATTTTTTTGTTACCACCTATTCTATTTCTACATATTTAAAATTGCAGGAGTAATATTAACATTAAAGTATCAACATTCATTCACATGTACCATATTTGCCTTTTCTGATCTTCCTCATGCCTTCCCACTTTTTAAAAGCATGTTTGTTTGCTTGATTCTGTATAATATTATTTATTTTTCTTTTGTGCTAAAAATTTATGTTAGCATTCCATATAGTACCCCTCTATTAAAAAACGTAATTTTTAGTGCTGTTTTTTGGTGGTTAGTTGGTGATACTACTAATGAGCTACATACCTAACCTAATTTTTAGAGCCTCAGATATGCTAAGTAAGCACTCTACTACTGAGCTATATCTCTATCCTAATTTTTAGTTTTTATTTATATTAAAACATGTCTTTTGTCTTTAGTTTTGAATGATACTTTCACTGACTATAAAATGCTAGCTTGACAATTATTTTCTTCAGTATCTTAAAGACACTATCTTATTTTCTTCTAGGTTTTGTAGTTATTGTTGAAAGGTCAACCTAAATCATCATGATGTCTCCTTTGAAATTGAAAAATCTCTACCTGCTTTTAAAATCCTCTGACCTCCCTCTTTCTCTCATTTTTGCATTTTTTTCTTCTTAGAAATTTTACCAGAAAACGTCCAAGTGTATTCTCCTGGCATTTATTCTATCTGAGGTTTTAGATCTTGAAACTATAGCTTGATGTTTTATCATCATTTTGAAAAATTATGTAAAAATATTTTGAGATTTTTTTCTCCATCTTTCTTACTGTTTTGTAAGACTCTACTTGTATGGATTTTTAAAATTTTATTGTTATGCACATATCTTTTAAGTCCTTTTATGTATTTTTACCCTTTTAAAAAAAAAAATCTATGCCTTGGTTGTATTTCAGAATGGAGTGCTAGAAACCTGACTGCTCCTGAATGCTACTTGTTGACAGAAGGGTTAGGTTCTGAGATGACTGAGGTAGCATCAAACCATTGTACTAAGGTACTTCCCACGAGTCACTTTCTTGGAATGATTGGTTTGTGATAACAGCTCATCAGTTTCCTGCTCTGGTTTATAATTCTGAGTACAAGAGTTCTGAGGTCAGAGCAGGAAAAAAAAAAAAAAAAAAACCTTTAGTTATCAAATCCTTTGGTGCAGACTTCTTTTTACTCTTCTGTTTTCAGAAGGTCCCTCAGCAGGAACTGGTGTGTGTCTGATTGCTTTTCTCCAGAGATTAATTCTTTAGTATTTGGCGAATACTCACATGCAGACTCAGATGCTTTGTCTGAATTAGGATGCCTTGTGGTTCTGAAACAAATTCCAGGCTGTTTGCTTTCCTCATTCTTTTCTGATGTTTGCTTAACATTTTTCAGGATCACTTGTTGATGACTCACCTCTAGATTTATATGTCAATCTTATGCATTCTGCTTAGTTATGTGCCTTTTATCTGTTTACTTTTTATTCCTGAAAATTACCTCTTACTTGCTTATTTATTCTTGAGAGTTCATAGATTCTTTTAAAGTAGGGTTAGTGTGGTCAGAACATAAATTGAGACAAATAATATGATTAATTTATCATTTAAAATTATAAACACCAGGAACATGATTTCTCTATTTTACTATAGATGCTGATTATCATTACTTCTGATTATGTTGTATTACTTTTGGTGATGATGGAGTGGCTCTGAGTAAACTGTGGATTTACTATGGCCACCCTGATAAGATATTCTTACTTTAATTTTAGGACAGTGTATAATTCATGGTAATCAACAGGATTTATTGAATTAGGACAAAATATAGTCTATTTTTCCCCTTTATGTCTAAAATAGGAATTAAATATACAATTTGAGACTATTGAACATTCTAAAGTAATAATTGCTTGTAGCTGTCATAATATTTGCAAGCCAAATATTACATTGATTCTGTGGCCTCGATTTATTATTTACTCCATTCTAGGCTACAGTATATGAGTAAGAAAGGTATTACTATTTATTTTGTTTTACACATAAATATGAGAATCAGAATAGGAGTCAATACCTTATTCAATATTATGCAGCTGATAAATGTACAACTGGGAGAATAAACTCAAGTATATTTCATGTGTTTATAATATCGTAAAAGAAATGCTTTTTTTCTGAAACATCCTTGCTTTCTTATAGGATACTTACCAAAAGAAAAAAATAGCCTTCAGCAACCTGGAAATTAGAAAGAGCTTTTCCCAGCTATGGGGAAATACAAGCTATATTACTCTTTGCCAATGTTATTTTCTTTAGCTGTTGGACACCATTCTGCAAGAGACTTACATGATTTTATTTTCACTTCTCTTCCACTGTTGCTCAGATACAGCTTATTGCTGGAATATTTGCCATTTACATAATAATGATATTGAAAGAAAATTTGGTAACTGGAATTGACTATAAGTAAAACCTTTTCTTCTAACAGAGAGAAGGAGAAAAGGATCATCAGGTGCGTCTGGCAGTTGGAAATGGTATACGGAGTGATGTATGGAGACAATTTTTAGACAGGTTTGGCAATATTAAGATGTGTGAACTTTATGGAGCTACTGAAGGGAACATTTGTTTTATGAACCACACTGGGAAAATTGGATCTGTTGGAAGAACAAATTTCTTTTACAAAGTAAGTACAGCATTTTCTTTATAAAAGAGATATATTGAAATCTGCTCTTTTCTAGAGTCTGTGCTTGTAAATTATGGTAAATATTATCATCTCTTTTAAGTTGGGAGATTCTGTAAATAAATGGTGGCTGTAGGTGAACTATGATGTTACAGATTATGGAAACCTCAGTCATAGCCTGTATTTTCACCCTATAATATGAGGTTAATGCTAGCAAATTTTTTGTTCACTTTTAAATGTAATGATATAATGTCTAAGTAGTAAACATAGGTCGTGAAATAACTAATTTTACTCTTTACGTTTTCCTTAAGTATTTTTATTCTACCAGTTCTACTTATCTTTAATTGCTTATGCTTCTTAAAAATTATATGTAGTCTTTTAATATACAAAAATAAAAATTTATATTAAGATGCCACTAAGACTTAAAGGCAATCAATGTCAATGATGATTGCTCAATATCAACAATGAAACACAAGATAGTGGCATAGTTTCAACTGGCCTGGAGAAAATAACTATCAAACTAAACTAGAATTTATACTCAATAATAGTATTTTTTAAGAATAAAGGTGAAAATAAAGAAAACAGTATCAAAATTCATAACACCAAAATTGATAAGACCTCAAGGGGAAATAAACAAATCTTCAATCATGTAGAATATTTGGATAATACAATAAGCAAACTACATATGAAGGACCAGGTATCTAAAAACTTTAAAATACCCCTTGTTTTCAAGCACTTATGAGACTTTAATAAAAATTACAGGGAAACCTAGGAAATCCCAACAAATTTCAAAAAGTACTCTGGCAACAATTTAAGTTAGAAATAAACTTTTAACGGGACAAGTAGATAATCTAGGTATTTGGAAACACAATGGTTCTAAATTGCCTTGGGTCAAAGAAAATATCATAGAAAATATAAGATGTTATGAGACAAATTATAATAAAAATATCAATTTAAAAACTCACTGACTCATTTAAGAACAGCTGAAAATTAGTTGGAGGGACCTAAATATATGTTAATAAAAAACAAAGTAAACTGAAAGAATATAAAAGTAAAGAAATAATAAATAACAGAAATTTATGAAATAGGAAATAATAAATGTTTATTATTTATTTCCATTCCTAACAACCAATAATAATCATAAAGGGATAAATATAAAATCCATACAGGGTCTAATCTTGAAAAGGTGGAGAGAATAAAACTAAATAAAAGGCAACTGAAAAATATGAATGCACATCAAAATAGCAAGTACTTCAAAATGGCCAAGAAATATTTAGGAAAACATTTTTTCCATAGGAACAAAAAAATAACAACAATATTCTCCTTAAAAAATAAAAGCTCCAAAGAGAGGAAGTTTTATGGAAAACAGAAATCAACAAAATAGGCTGAAAAGCAAATATACTCAGTTCAAAGAAAAAATAGAAGAAACTAAAAATATTACAAAAGTGAACACCACATTAAAAGCATTAAAAACAAAATGGACTGCAAACAATGTTAGGAAGCAAGATGGATTGGATTAGAGTTTGCCACACACATAAATAATAAAAAGGAAGCAAATAACATAAAGCAAAAAGAAAGATTTTATAAACATAAACAAGAATCTGACATGTGCTTACTTAATGTTCTTGCAGAAAAGATCAAAGGGAAAATAATTGAGTCATAAGAAAACTTTCTTAAAGACTTGCATGTATAGGGAAATAAACATGGTACAGAATGATTATCAGACAAGGATATCTCAGTAAAATTATTGAACAAAAATTAAACAGAGGGAGATGCTGAAGTTCAAAAAATAAGGTCGTACAAAGTGGTAACAGTTTTAGGTGAGAAATAGCTCAGGTGTCTCACGTGAAAACAAGAGCAAAGTCCTCAAAGCCCGATAAAAAGTCATGTCTTCACCTAAGGGTTGTAGTTCTGCCACGTTGTTCTTTAAGTGTAAAGGTAGCAGAGGTTTTTGCAAAGTTTTAAGAAATCAAAGAATGCAATACTCATGTGTTTGCAGAAATGCGATACTTCTGTGGGAATTCATTGAATGAAACATTCTGGTCAACCAGAATAGAAAAGTGAACTTAGAAAGAATTACCTTCCGTTAAATGGTTGGATAGTCAGCTTTTAATCCATTTATATTCAATTCTTTATATTCAAAGAATTGAACAGCTCCAAATTATGTCTACCAATGGAATGGAAATATGTAAAACCTGACAATATAAAATAATTATAATGCTGACATTAGGTTAGGCGAGATGAGAGTAGGAAGCATAGTGGCAATTTTCTCATCTTTTATAGTGCTAACTCCATAGACACAATATAAAGATAAAATATGGGAATTATGAAAAGGCTCATTTCCTTCGTATTTTCATTAAGCTTTTTTGTTGTCTTAAAAGTAGGCATCTTAAAAGCGGCTTAGAAGCCTGATGCAGAAGGGTAACTAATTTGCTTAGTTAGGTCAGTCTGAAAAACTTAGTGAGACTGTCTCAGAAAAAATAAAATTTAAAAAAGGCCAGGAAAAGTACTTGTTTAGAATGCACTAGGCCCTGTACTATGCATATACACATGCAGAAAATGAAAATAGAATCCTTTAGGGACAAGGAACCTTAACCCACTGCAAGATTAGGGAACATTTCACTCAAGACCACTTTCACTTTGATATCAACTGCAATTCTGGACTCCCTAAAACCATACCTAGATTTGATAATTTGCTAAAGGACTTGTAAAACTCACCGAAGGTTACTATCTCATGGTTATAGCTTATTATAACTAAAGGATACAGATTAAAATCAGCCAAGGAGGAAGTACATAGAGCAGATCCTGGAGAGCCCTAAGGGCAAAGCTTGTAGAAGTCCTGTCTCATGGAGATGCAATCACATTTCTCTCCTGGAAGTGATGTGTGACAGTGTGCCTAGAGCACTGTCAACTAGGAAGCTCACCTGAGCCTGGTGTCCAGATCCTCTGGGGGCTTGATCATATTCATCTGGTTCACTGTTCACATGACTGTTCTCCATTTTCTGCTTCTCAGGAGTTGAAGCTGAACCATGCAAAGTCCCAGCTCCACATTATCATGCATGTTGGTGTGGCTTAGAGACCCCATCATAAACCATTTTGTTACTATGTTGTTGGCTTTAGTGTCTTAGACAAATGAATACTTTTCTATCAAAAATACCATTGCAAGGACTTAGAGATTACCTTCCAGAAGCTGAGAGGAAGGCCAGACCCCTTTTTGGGTAAGATCAAATTCTTCCCTACACAGAAGCCCATATCCCAGTTCTATCTCAGCTCTGCTTCACCTATTTGACTTTGTGACTTTAACAAGTTACTTTTCTCTGGGCTCAGAGTCTCCTTGCGTATTAATAAATGAGTTTTGTTTACCTTTTCCAATGTATACATTTACAAATCTGAATATGTCCAGACATATTGGGATAACTCCCAGGGCCATTGTAGATATGTGTGTGTGGACTCAGTGGTTCTGGGGGAGCCATTTACACAGCTGCTATGAACAGGAGTCCCTGCCACTGTGTCTGGACGTGTACAGACGATTTTAAAGTGTGGCATCTCCTTTTATTCTGTTATAATAATATAGTCATTGTAATCTCATGGTGACCTGTTGAAGGCAAGACAAAAAAATGGAGATGCTTCTAGCTGAACATTAATGATGGGCCTAGGCCACCTCTAGAAGATGCTGTAATATGTTTAATTTCACTTGAATTATAAAATAACCCAGTGTTTAACCATCAAGTACTCTATATCTGATAGCAGTCTCATTGAACAGTGATTTGTTGTAGAGTGAATCTCACCCATGCACATTATTGCCAAGTTAATCTAAAAGAAATAACACTAAAGCTGATATCACAAGGTGTTAGGGAAATGATCCAAAATATAAAGCATGCTGAAACAGGAGAGAAAAAAAAAAAGAGTAATGAACAGAGCTCTATTCTTATTTGACAAAGATGATAATGGCAGTTCCAGTACTTCTGCAGTCTTTCTACTAGCAATTAGGCAAGTGGCCAATATCCTGTTATCCCAATTACAGAGAAAGACCAACAAGATGCAAACTCGCATTTTAATCATCTTTATGTCAAGAACAACTGTAATATTTGCTCTGTTGCCTCTTCCATTGGCTCTAATCTTAGAAAAGTATAAGACTAATTTCTACCTCATAGAGTATTTTGATACTTGAATTAAATACAGCTCTCAGCATAGTGTTTTGATCAATTGATATTAGTTGCTCTGTCTTATATTTTAATTCAAATAGCAAATTATGATTCTTGTCACACCCTGATTTTACCAAGCTCAAAAACCAGAGATGATGTGTTTTATCATTAATACTAAATGATACTGTTACATTTATCTGTGTAATATTATTATTCATCTTTTCACACTCATTTTCTATTTATTAGTTTCTCTTCTCCTCCTACCTCCCTGCTATTCCTATCTATTTTTTCTTACTACTTTCTCTTACTTCATTTTATTTCTTCTATGTTAGTTGACTATTATCTAATTCAGTATAAAAAATTACTTGCTTTACTGGTGAGTAAAACCTCAGTTCTTATATATAAAATGAGGGATTGAACTGAACCAACCTGTACTTCTCTCCCGGGTCATATTTAGTGGATGTGTGTGTCCGTATAGCACGGTAACATGGACATTGCAGGAGCAGAGTAGGTAGAAATATTGGAAATGAGGGGAGACACCAGTGTGATGACTATGTTCTAACAAATTGGTCATCTCAGACCCAAATGGTATACCTATGTACCCAATGTTAGTTTAGGGATAGTAGTGTGGAAGGCCTTTGGGAAAGTCCAGTGCAATTGTCAAGTGGCTATACTTTTTAGGCATTTGGTCACCTGTCTAGAGACTATGAAGAAAAAACAAGCAACAAAATCCTGGCATACACATAGTTCATATTTGAGTGCTGTTGAATCTTTTTTTTTAATTGCAAAAGGTGTTTCAAATAATCACACAAATGATACCTTTGCCTGCATAAGAGTATGTAATTAAATACACGGACTGCTTCTGTCTCTTGACATCACCAATTCATACTTAAAATCTAGTAGTAGTTTCTAAGGCAAAGTGAAACTCAAAGGAAATGAAAGTCAAAGCCAGTGAAGACATGCTATTTACTAATACCTTCAGTTGTGATGTTCACATATTAATTTAATTTTCATCAATAAAAGTGGCCTGTTTGATAAATTCACATTCTAATTATTTATTTCAACTGAGGATGAGATCTACTACCAGTGAATAAATATTTTCTGTTTGCTTAATTTTGTTTTTGCAGCTTTTTTTCAATTTCCACTTGATAAAGTATGATTTTCAGAAAGATGAACCTTTGAGAAATGAAAAGGACTGGTGTAGCCAAGTGAAAAAAGGTAAAACTCATATTTGAAGGAGTCTCATGAAGGAGAGCTTTCAACTTTCTGTGTAATGATTATTGAAGTTAGGAAAAATCATTAGTTCTAATGAGTAGTTTTACTTATTTGGAAATTCAAGACAGGTGGAATGGTTCAGTGATTAGATATTAAGAGCCCTCACTGGGTCACTCAGATGAAAAATTGTTAAAATTGAAAAGTGGTTACTATTTTGTTACTATTTGGATCACGGTAATGATTATAATTTGATGATGTTAGGGCTAACAATGATGTTGTGAATGAGAATGAAATGGCTGCTGTTGGAGCAGAGTAGAGGGGTAACAGCCATGAAAGTGATATAATGCAAGAAATTTCTCTACACTTTGCCAGAAGACAACCCTTTCTAATATCAGGTGACTCTGCATTGATTTATAGCAGGCAGAGCAAGGGGGCAATAGCCTTGAAGACTTCTGGGGAGTGATTGATACTTGCATCTTATTTTCTTACCAAACTCTTTTAGAAGCAGCTTTTACCTTGCAGATTGCTGAGCAAAATCTTGATTATTTCAAATAATGTGTCTAAATACAAGTAGAACTAAACATGTCGTGGGATGGAAAATCTTTTTGATCTTTCATTTCTTTTCTACCAAGGATTTCCATAATAACATCCCAGAGGAATAAGCCATTCTCTTAAATTTAAAATAGCATAGTATTAAGATCAGAGATGGTAATTTACACAAAAACTTTAGTTTGAGTTCTAGATCTATTTCTTTCTTTGATTTTGGTAACCTCATTCCTCTGGGCTCTAGTGCCTTCCATCTGAAATAGAAATTATGACATTATTTCAAAAGGTTTCTGTAAAAAATACATTAGTTGACCATTGCAAAAAGCTCATGGTAAGAGTACAATAAATATTGCTATCAGCATTTTATTAAAATGATTAGTAGAGTTTTATTTATATTGTCAGTATTATCTGTATTGAAAGCTATGTAATCCAAAGAATAGTCTTCTGTCAACCCAGAATGTAAAGAAGTTTTAAGCGTCTTTCCTTTGTATTCAGCTCCCTTTTCATTGTTTTTCCGAAAGTGGTGTGTTTGTGGTAATCGGAAAGGATGTATAAGATGCAAATGCCAAGAGAGTGATGTCAAGTAGAATAAAGTTCAAAGGAAAGCCAGATGTGCAACACTGATTGTGTTAGCCAGATGTGATTTAGATATGTTCATAGTGTATGTAACAATAGTTTTAATCAGATGGCTACAAAATTGCCCTTTTCTCTTGCAGGAGAACCTGGACTTCTCATTTCTCCTGTGAATACAAAGAATCCCTTCTTTGGTTATGCTGGGTCTTACAGGCACACAAAAAACAAATTACTCTTTGATGTTTTTAAGAGGGGAGATGTTTACTTTAACACAGGAGACTTAATGGTCCAAGATCAGGAGAATTTCCTTTATTTTTGGGACCGTATTGGAGACACTTTCAGGTATGAACTACCTTTAGATGCCCGGCTTGTTCTATAATTGTGAAGCATGCTTCTTTGGAAATATCAGAGACCACGTGCTTGGAGCTTTCAGGGAAGACAGAGTCCTTTCATTTTCATAATGCATAATGCCTTCCCATTTAAAACTTTGTCAGTTATTTGTTTCTAGACTAAACTGTAAGTTCAATTTTGATATAAAATTTTGTGATTATTTTAATGAATCCGTTAAGTCCAAATCCATGAGCTCTCTTTTGGAATAGAAAACTGACAGATGTGATATCTAAGTGGTAGGATTAAAACAGAAAACCAATTTAGTCAAATATGGTCTAACTCTGATCTGATGATAAAATATTGAAAGAGAAATTTCCATTTCTTCTATTTTGTTTCCTTTTTTTCATTCCCTAAAATCATTTTAGGCCTATAACATTAGTTTGCTTTATTAAACAATGACTATAGAATAGTGAAGGCATATAGTGAGTAAACAAATGCTTGAATAGTGAAGGCATATAGTGAGTATTTAACAAATATAGTTATACTTAATATTATTTCCTTGCCTTCATGTGCCATGTTATAAACTCACTTTACATAAAATTAGTTGCATTAAAATAAAATATTTACTTATATGAATTAAAAGAAATTAAGGAGTTAGTACTTAGAAATTAAAGTTAGTATACTAAAAGACAGCTATAACTTTTCTGTCAATTCTTTATATAATTGACCTTAGAGATGGGGAAGATTTTATGCTTGTTATTTTACCAAAAAAGATTTTTGTATTGATAATCTTTGTTATTATTTTTTTTGTGTTTTGATGACATATTATAAAACATTGAATAATGATCAACTTATACCAAAAAGACCTAAAGTAACTTTAACCAACACACAGATGCTGACTTTGTTGAATTATGATCAAAGTGCTTCCTCAGAAGTGCTTTTAGTTTTGAAAAGTATAGCAATTTTGGTTCCTAGGTGCTTGCATGGAGCCAAATACAAGGCATTAAAATTAAAACTGGGCACCTAGTTTTGCAAATATGATGCATTAATTGAAATTTGTGTTTCATTTAGATGGAAAGGAGAAAATGTTGCAACCACAGAGGTTGCCGATGTTATTGGGATGTTGGATTTCATACAGGAAACAAATGTCTATGGTGTGACTGTGTCAGGTATGAGTATGTCAAGTTTGGAAGGACCTTCAATAGTGTGTACAACTGTTCTGTAGTTTTGAAATTATTTTACTAATCTGATTTTCATATGCTAAAATAAATATCCTTTGTCCTAGCAAGTGATACCCTTGATTAAGCTAACAAATTCCACTGACTCATCAGGGGAAAGTTACCAAGTGAATTTTGATGTCTGTGTGCATTTTTAAAGAGAGTTTGAATGTTCTGGTTAGTGACTCCCTGCTTGAATATAATTGAAGCTTCTCAATAGTCTTATTTTTCTCTTAATGATTGCTATACAGGTGGGTCTCTGTAAGAATTATTTTAAAATTTGTGTGGCCTCATTGTCTTTATAAGTATGTGTATGAGGATCTTTTTATGGTGGTGAAAACGGCACAGAAAAGTGACAGGATTTGGAGTCATAGAACAAACATCCACCTTCAGTCTTTTAATTCTTTTTTCTTATAAATGACAACGACTTCTGGATAACACTTGTGGTAGAGAGGATACCAGGAGTGGGAGTGTTTGGCTGGCGGAGCGGTGGAGGGGAGTGTTTAATTAATAAATGGCCTTTGGGTATTGAAGAAAGGCTCTGGCACATTTTGACCCCCTATAAAGATCTGTAGATGGTTTGATAAGCAGTATACGGTATATAGAATTAAGTATGAAAATACTAGTTTCTGTTTTCTTAAGTTAAAAATGTGTCCTTAGTTTTTCTGAGTTAATACTTAAAATGTATATTTCTGCCAGAATACTTTCACCTTCAAATGAATCTTTCTTTCTTTTTCTTTTTTTGAAAAAAAAAGGTATAAATATATTTTTGAGTTGACTGGAAATGTCACATCAACAAAGATGACATAAAACCATACAGTGCCAAATGGGGACACCTATGACAAACTGGTTAGTGGGTGCGTGTTAGTGATACATGACAGCATAGTCAATTTTCACAATTTATACCAACATGGAGTGCATCTTATTATAATTAGGATCCTAGACTTGTGGATGTATGTGATGTGGAGATTCACTGTGGTGTATTTATATGTGTACAAAGGAAAATTCTTTCTTAATAGTTGTGTTATTGTTGGTAGGATGCAAATTATAGATATTTTATGGTATTTTCCATTCTTTCTCTTTTGATAGGAGGGGGGTACTAGGGATTGAATCCAGAGCCGATTAACCACTGAGCCACATCTCCAGCCCTTTTCTGAATTTTATTTAGAGAAAGAGTCTCCCTGAGTTGCTTAGTGTCTCGCTGTTGCTGAAGCTGCCTTTGAACTCAAGATCCTCCTGCCTCAGCCTCCCAAGCCTCTGAGGTTACAGGCATGCACCACCCACATTCCATTTATTTTATTTCTGTAGTGTAGACAATTCAGGATAAATTCTAGCCTTTCCTATTCTTTATTTATTTCTAGAGATTGAGCCTAATTTCAAAGAAGGACATAGCCTCATTCATGCTACTGTTGCATTGTTATCACTACAATAGATTTAATGTCTCTTCATATGGATGAATATATAACAGGTCTATTTTTAACAATTCGTCTAATATTTATATAATTGATTATAGCTCAAACTTTTTTTCAGGTTATGAAGGAAAAACTGGAATGGCTTCTATTATTTTAAAACCAAATAAGTCTTTAGACTTAGAAAAAATTTATGAACAAGTTGTAACATCTCTACCAGCTTACGCCTGCCCACGATTTTTAAGAATTCAGGTAATTTTACAAACTAAATTTACTATCAAATTTGAGACCAGGAAACCAAGAGGTAGTTGAGCAAAAATCATATTGTAGCCTTTACATAATATGTGCACATTTATATTACAAAGTTTCAATGAAAAGCTTAGGGATACAGAATTGATGCTAATCAATGCCATATTTGAAGCCTGAGAAAGAAGAAATCATGGTGAAATGCTAGGATGTATATATCTTTATCCTAATTATAGAATTGTTCTCTTCCTCTTCAGTTGGGACCTGAGAGCCAAATGTAGGTCCCAGCAAAGGTGACAAGCAGAAACCACACCTTGAATATATCTTATGAATGCATTCAGTGTCATTTACTTAGAATTAGTTTTCACCAAGCCGACATCAAAGTGCCTGCAGAATGTGCACAGAACCTGAAGGAAATTGGCTTGATGCAATCCTGCTTTTAGTTCTATTATTCTGTTCAGAACCCCAACTTCTGTTTTGGAGAATTCTGAGTTCATTTGTTTTAGGATGAGTGTGTGTTTTATTGGGCTACTGGTATAAAGAAAAATAATTTACCAGGCTACAGGTAACTTCACTTACCATTAACTCAAGCATTTATTTATTTAATATTATGCATCAAATACAAATTCTCAAAGTTAGTACATGCAGTCACACAGACTTTTTTTTACAATATTTATTATATTTATATTACATCCATATTTGAGAATAACAGAGAAGTAGGTATATTATATTCTGCTTTTCTTTCTTTCTTTTTTCTTTTTTTTTTTTTGTATTGAGTATTGAACATGGGGTGCTTAACCACTGAGACACATCCCCAGACCTTTTTTATATTTTATTTAGAGACAGGGTTTTGCTAAGTTGCTTAGGATCTCACTAAGTTGCAGAGGCTGGCCTTGAACTCACGATCCTCTTGCCTCAGCCTCCTGAGCTGCTGGGATTATAGGAGTGAGCCACCACACCCAGTTCATATTCATTTTAAGCATTTGCCAAGAAATACTCACAGCCAAGTCAGTGTATGTCCAATAGGACACTCATCTGGACTCTCATGAGGACATAATTAATTTATATATTTTTTTCATTTTTGAGAGTTTAACATTATCTCAGATTATCTCCATAAAAATCCATTCTCATATTAAATGCTAGTAATATATTTTAATTGAAATTTTTATTAAGATAGTTGTATATTCCTATCCAATTTTAAGAATTAATGTAGAGAGATTCTGTATCTTTTGTCTAGTTTTTACCAAGTCACATCTCTCACAACCAGAATACTGACATAACCAAACTATGCTATTAAATTTCTCTTATTTTATTTATACACATACATGTTGTGTGTTATTTTCTATCCACTCTTATTACCTTCATAGTTTCATGCATCCATGACCCCCAGGAAGCTGTGAATAATCCCAACATTACAAGGTTCCTTCATGCTGTCCTTTTATAATCACACCTAGCTTCCTCCTGTCCCTCTACAACCTACCCCCAAAATAACATATTTTGATGGACTAAAAAGTTTATAGTGCAGATAATATAGGTAATATTTTAAACAGTATTTCTTTAGGACAACTTAAAAAATCTCTTTAATTAAGCTGAAAAAATATTCTGGTGTAGGACTTCTTCAGAAGACTCAATTTAGAAAATATTTTAAAATCATTAACTGTCTGAAAAGAACACAGGCCATGACTGTTATGTCTATTACAGTATTTGCTATAGTTAGCACAAAACCAAATATTTAGTCAGCAGTCAAAATATCTATTAAATTAATCATAATAATAATCTGATAAAAGTAGTACAAAAGTTAAGTTGCCTCTGAAAATTCATAAAACATTATTTATCTTATTAAAAATCTAGCACAGGTTTTTTTTAAAGAGGACTCTTTTTTTTTTTTTTTATTGGTCGTTCATAACATTACATAGTTCTTAATACATCATATTACACGGTTTGATTCAAGTGGATTATGAACTCCCGCTTTTATCCCGTATACAAATTGCTGTATCACA